AGGAATTCTAGGAGTTTAAATCCCCACTCCTTAAAAGTTGAAGTTCACACGACTTTTGAGCTCCAGCAACCATAGAGTCTGGGCTCTAGAGAAGCAATACCCCAGGGACTTCTGGGAGTTGAAGTCCATCCATCTTCAAGTTTGCAAGGCTGAGAAACACCATTGTTGACTGTGGTTTGTTGACTGTAACACAACTGACTAAATCTGCATAACGTGTCGGGCTTTTGAAATGCTGGTTTCAAACACAACCTAGTCTGTCTCGGTTGCTTCTCTTATTCTTCTTTACTTCTTTTATTAGGGTTGTTTTCTCAAAATTGGTTTTCGGGGAGAGGATAGGAAGGAAGGAGAGAGGGAGGAGGACACTTACCAGAAAGTCTTACTCATGTATTGGAAATAGTACATATAACAGCCCGTTGATGGATCCTGGGAGTAAGCGGCTTCCCGTTTTTTTGCATCCGTAATTTCAATGAGGTCTCCGTGATATTCGACCACAAATTCACCCCGGTTAAAATGCCTGGTGGCAATGACGCCCCGGCCTTTGCCGTCAATAAAATCAATCTGCAGAGAACAGCAAGAGAAATTATTCATAAGGGAAAGCGTCCCTCCCCTCAAGCCAGTTCCTTGAACTTCATTCAGCGTTAACGACCGAAAGGCGAAAGGCATTTTGTCAACGTCCTGCGTTCCACCTGAAAGCAGTTAGGCTGCATTTTATTTCTGAATTTCAATTATTGTAAAGGTAAAAGTTCCTCTCATATGGGCTAGTCGTTCCCCACTCTAGGGGGCGGTGCTCATCTCCGTTTCAAAGCCGAAGAGCCAGCGCTGTCCGAAGACGTCTCCGTGGTCGTGTGGCCGGTACGACTCAACACCAAAGGCGCACGGAACGCTGTTCCCTTCCCACCAAAGGTGGTCCCTGTTTTTCTACTCGCATTTTTTACCTGTTTTCGAACTGCTAGGTTGGCAGAAGCTGGGACGAGTCACGGGAGCTCACTCCGTTACGCGGCGCTTAGGGATTTGAACTGCTGAACTACCGACTTTTCTGATCGACAAACTTGGCGTCTTAGCCATTGAGCCGCCGCGTCCCTATTCAAAGTTATGTGATGGATTTTCTTTTCGTTTTTGAGAAGGTAACAGGGTTGGTGTT